GCCAGCAGCCCGCTGTGGTTCCAGCTCTATCACCGGGGCCGCAACTTCACCGAGATGCTGGTGCACCGCGCCGAAGAGGCAGGATTCAAAGCCATCGTGCTCACCGTCGACACCCCGGTCGCCAGCCCCAAGGAACGCGACCTCCGCAACCGCTACAAGCGCGAGCATGACCTCGGCAACTTCCGGGGCATGGACGCCAGCCGCAGCGAAATCAGCGGCACAGACGAGACGGAAGGCTGGGACGTCTCCTACGCTCCCCCCATCACTTGGAGGGACCTGGAGTGGCTGAAGGGTCTTACCTCGCTGCCGCTGGTGCTCAAAGGCGTGCGCACGGCAGAGGACGCCCACGAGGCCGTGGAGAACGGTGTCGAAGGAATCCTTGTGTCCACCCATGGCGGGCGGCAGCTTGACATGACCATGGGCGCAATCGAGATGGTGCCCGAGATCGTTGCCGCCACCAACGGTCGGGCCGAGGTATACGTCGACTCAGGCGTGCGCCGCGGCAGCGATGTAGTCAAGGCGCTGGCCCTCGGCGCAAAGGCGGTGGCAATTGGCCGCCCGCTGTTCTGGGGCCTGGCCATCGACGGAGCCGACGGTGTACACGGGGTGCTGGAGCTACTGCGCGAGGAAGTTGATCGGTGCATGGCCTTCTGTGGTCAGACCGACGTCAACGCGCTTGATTCCGGCGTAATCCAGATCCCCGCCGGCTGGGGAGCCTTTGGCGGCACCACCGCCCCGTAGTTTTCCTCGATTTTCGGCAACACATTACGGCCCCGGCTGCTGCGCCGGGGCCGTCTGGTTTTGGCAGGGCTCTGAAAGCATCGCGTTACGCTTCAGCGTGCTGATGCAATTCCTCGCCAAACTTCCTGTTCGTCAGCGTCAACCAGAAGACGGCAGAATTCCAGGGCCCCCAGCACCGCGAAAAATATCACTGGTCCCGGCTCAGGCTCCACAATAAGCCAGTGCGCCATGACCAGAATCGCCGCTGGATAAACGCCTCGCTGCAACATTTTCCAGCGCCGCCATCCCATTGCTTGGGTCATTATCGCATTGGACGTAACCGCCATCGGAATGAAGATGAAGAGCGCCAGCCATCCGGTGAGAATAATCGGGGTCGTGAGCTCTTCCATGACCACCTGAAGACTGCCCAGTCCACGAAGTAAAATGCGAGGTGGACTAAGGAGTAGGAAAAGACGGCTACGCCGATATACCGACGTCGCTGCAACAGCCAGGCCGCAACGCGAGATTTGGAAAATATCGTATGCAAAGGGGACAGGCTCATCGCAATTATCAGCAGGAATGTGGCCAAAACTCCGGACCCTTCCAGAATCTCTTGCGACGGCCCGCGTCGTCCACCGCTGTCCGCAATGAGGGTCAGAATCATCTGAAAGGAAGGCAGCGCCAACAAGGCCCAAAAGAAGTGGGAGAATTGAGGAGTTTCTTCGCGGCGGTCATTTTACGCCCTCAAAATTGAATCCTGATCAGCGCGATGCGAGTTCGCCGATGAACCAGCATCACGGCATTCCAGAGACCAGACTGGAACATAGCCAAGAAATGTTAAGAAATTTTGAAGCGGGGCGTTCCATAAAGGCAGTAGCCCAGGGCGAGGAGTGAGTTCGGCTGGGCCGTCAGGCACCACGCTTCCTGCCCGTCTTCTCCTCATACAGTTCCCACGTTCGATCGTTGAAGGGGTAGTACTTGCCGGGGCTGCACTGTTCCACTTCCAACTGCGCCTTGATCACCGCTTCAACCTCCTCCCGCTCATGGGCTATGCGAATCACCTCGTCGACCGCAGCAGCTGGCACCACCACCGCGCCGTCGTCGCCGACAATGGCGTCGCCGGGCCGCACGAGTACGCCGCCGCACTGCACGGCATCGTTAACCTGCCAGGGCCAGAACTCGGCGGGGCCCTGCTTGGCAGTGGAGTTGGCGGCGTAGACCGGGAAGCCGTATTCCTTCAGAGCGTTGCTGTCCCGCACCGCCCCGTCGGTAACGAGGCCACCCACCTTGCGCTGCATCAGGCGCATGAACTTGATGTCGCCGCCGATGGAACTGTACTCCCAGCCCATGGCGTCGATGACCAGCACGTTCTCAGGGCCGCAAAGTTCGAAGGCCACATACTCGGCGGAATCGGCCCCCTTGGGTTTGTCGGCGGCAAGGTCAGGGCGGTGAGGTACGAAACGCAGTGTTACCGCCCGACCGGCCATGTGCTGCCCCGGCTGCAGAGGCTTGGCCCCGTGAATGAAGCTCATGGGCCATCCCATAACCCACAGGCCGTCTATCAGCGTCTGCGTAGGGATACCCTTCAGGGTTTCCAGGGTGTCGGCGGAGATCTCGGTCGATGTGGTCATTTCCCCTCTCTGCGTCCGTTCAATGGCTGGCTATTCTGAGCGACCCGCGCCCATGCCTTGTTCCCCTCCAATTGGCGGGACCTGCTGATCACTGGATCGCCGTCTCACGAGACCGGTGCGCAGGCACGGATTACCCGCCTTTGCCCGCTCCTTTGCATTGGGGCCGGAGGCCCGGGGCGAAACTATCGGGAGATCAATGCCTGCATCCCTGTATTTCTGAAGGCGTTCACGACACTCCTCAGGAGACCCGGCAAGAGCAACCGTGTCCACTAGTCCGTCAGGGGCAAGATTCAGGGCGTCGTCTACGCGTCCTTCCCGCCAGGACTGGGCCACAGCGCGCACCTCGTCGGCGAACCCAGCCTCCTCCACCAAGCGGCGATAGCGAGGGAATCGCCAGACGTAGGAGGCTATATACCGTCGCAACTCGTCGCGGGCAACTCTCCGGTCCTCGGAGACGGCGCAGGCGATCAATGTCGACACGTCCACTTCCTTGGGGTCCCTACCTGCCCGCCCCGCACCTTCGCCAATGTGATGAACCGCAGTCGCTGCGTGTTCGAGGGTGCACCAAGTCAAAATGACTCCGTCCGCAACCTCCCCGCAGATTTCCAGCATCCGAGGCCGAACTGCCGCAAAGTAAATGGGCATTTGACGGCGTACGGGCTCGAACCACAGGTCGAATCGTTCGATGTTGAAAACATCTCCTTTGTAGTTAATGTCCCCATCCCTCAGGATGCCCCTGACTATGTCAGTACACTCCCGCATTCGCTCGATCGGACGGATGAACTCCAGGCCGTGCTCTGGTTCTACCTGCACTTTGTGGCTGCTGCCGAGCCCGAGGATGAACCGCCCGTTGGAAAAGTGATCGACGGTTGCAGCGGCCATGGCAATGGTGGGAGCGGTGCGCACGAAAACGCTGGTGATGCTGGTTCCCAGCTTGATCCGGCTGGTGGCAACGGCACAGGCAGTGAGAATGGCAAACTGGTCTCCACCGTGGCCCTCTGCAACCCACGCCGACTCATAGCCCAGTTCCTCGGCGAGTTGCACGCACTCAACTATGTCGGGCGGCGACATACCGCCGGAGAATCCGACTCCTATTCGCTCCATCTATTCACTCTCCACGTTCCTCTTTTTAAGGCGAACAGTTCAGGGGCCCAGCCTTTCCCGCAGGTTTGGGTTGGCAGGAACATAGCTTGAGGTACTATGATATTCCAAATCCGCTAGCCAATTCCATTGATGTCTCCATTCGTGGCCGGCTGCAATGCCTGCGATCAATCGCGGCGCACGAAGGGACGCTGCGCTACTGCAGAGCCCCGCGAATGCTCAAAGGACTAAGATGACCAGTTACCCCAATTATCGCTGGGTACTGATATGCCTGTACCTGATGTCCAACGTCTCGGCGCAGATGGTGATCAACACGCTGGGCATTCTGTTGCCGTCGATTGCCGAAGGTCTGGAATTGTCACCTTCCCAGCAGGGGCTTCTCGGCTCTGCCCCGTTCTGGAGCACCATTGTCCTAGCGATCCCGATTGCGTGGGCGGGTTCCCGTCTGTCACCAAAGTGGCTTACGGCTGCCACCTTGCTGGGTTGTGCGCTGTGCCTGTTCCTGCAGAGCTGGTCACCTATATTCGTCGTCCTGTTATTGGGACGACTGCTGTTCGGAATATTCACCATAGCCCAGCAACCAGCCCGGGCTATGCTCACGCGGCAGTGGTTTCCGGGGCGGGATGTCGTGATGGTCAACGGCCTATCGAACGTGTTCTTTGGAGTTGTAGTGGGAGGTGGACTCGCCCTTTCCCCAGTGATCTTGATCCTGCTGGGGGATGACTGGAGAGGTACCTTCGGCATATTTGGCTTCTATTACCTGGGACTTCTGATCCTTTGGATAGTCGTGGGTCGCGATCGGGCGGCGGGAGAGTTTTCCAGAGGCGAGTCCCAGCCTCTCCTTCCGTTGCTTCGCAGTGCCTTGAGCCACCGGGATCTGTGGCTCTGCGGAGGCGGGTTCTGCGGCGCCACAATGGCCTTTTCGGCGTTCCTGTCCTTCTACCCGACGCTGATGCTGCAAGAGCATGATCTGTCGCTGCGAATCAGTGGGATCGCTCTTGCGCTGGACGTGGTTCTGGGCGGCATCGGCGGTTTGGCTATTGGATACTATGCTGCAACCTGGCGGAAGGAAGGTCGATTCCTGCAAGTGCTTGGGATATTGATGGTGGGGTCGTTCCTTGGGATGATCCTATCCGGTTCGATTGCAGTGATCTTCGTGATGGCCATCATCAATGGCGTTGCCTGGACCTTTTTCCCCATTCTGATCACCGTGCCGTTCAACTTACGGGGCATTCAACCCAGGCAACTGGCTGTGGCCTTCTCTGCGACCATGATGCTCATCTCGACAGGCCAGGCTCTGGGGCCGCTCTTTATCGGTTTCCTCGAGGAGGCCACGGGAGATTTGATGCTCGCTATGTTGATTGCCTGCTTTACTCCGCTGACGCTGGTGATTGCTGGAACTACGCTCAATTTCGGGCGTGAACCTACAGCCGCCGCGGCAACTGGCAACTGAGTCGGACAGCCAATGGTACAAGATACAAACGTCCGAACCGGATCCAGTGCATGAGCCAAAATCCTATCCAAAAGGGTTAAACAGGGAGGCGCGAAATGACAATTAGAAGGCCGACTTCCCACGAATTGCGACGGCTGGCGGAAGCCAATCACTTCGAAATCACGGACGCTGAAATGCAGGCGTTTGAGGCAATGATCCCAGGGTTGTTCGATTCGTACGACGCCCTTGCCCAGATGCCGGAGCAGCGCGCTCCCCTGCGATACGCCAGCCGCACCCTCGGGCCGCGCCCCAATCCCGAGGAGGATCCGTACAACGCGATACTGCGCCGCTGCTCCATTAGCGGAGCGACCGGCGGGAAGCTGGCGGGCAAGCGAATCGGCTTGAAAAACAACATATGCGTTGCCGGATTCCCGATGACCTGCGCGTCTCTGATATTGGAGCACTATATTCCGGACAGCGATGCCACAATTGTCACCCGTTTACTCGATGAGGGGGCGGAGATCAACTCCATCCTGAACCTGGACAACTTCGCGTTCTCCGGTGCGGGCGACACCAGCGCCTTTGGGCCAACTCTCAATCCTCACAGCCTGGATCACCTTGCGGGTGGGTCATCCGGCGGCTCCGGCGCGGCCCTTTACTATGATGATGTTGACATGACCATCGGCGGAGACCAGGGCGGGTCGATACGCATTCCTGCATCCTTCTGCGGAGTGGTTGGACTGAAGCCTACTCACAGCCTGGTGCCCTACACCGGGATCGTTGGCATCGACAACACGTTTGACCACGCCGGGCCTATGACACGAACGGTGTACGACGCGGCGTTGCTGCTTGAGGTGATTGCAGGCAAGGATCCGCTCGACCCTCGGCAGGGGGAAGTTCCTGTCCAGGAATACACGGGCGCGCTGGCGGGTGGTGCGTCGGGGCTGAAGGTTGGGGTACTCACGGAGGGGTTCGGACTCCCTGAGTCGGATCCTGAGGTAGACGCGAAGGTGCGGCAGGCGAGCAACCGGCTAGCCGAGCTGGGGGCCTCGGTGGAGCAGGTATCGATTCCCTGGCACTCGAAGGCCAACGGGGTGGTCTGGGGGCTGATTGCCGAGGGCGCCACGGCTTTGCTGCAGACCAGCGGGACGGGACGGGCTTTCGAGGGCCAATACAACCCGGGGCTGGCCCATGCGCTGGGGAACGGGCTACGGTCGCAGTCCAACGAGCTGCCTCCGACGGTCAAGCTGGTGCTTCTGATAGGGTCCTACATGACCGAGAACTACAGCAGTGTGATGTATGCCAAGGCCCAGAATTTGCGGCGGGAGCTCAGGGCAGCCTACGACGACGCACTTTCGCGATACGACCTGCTGCTTTTGCCGTCAACCCCGATGCCGGCGCACCGCAACGACGCCGGCGGAGACCCGCACGCGGTGATAGAGCACGGGTGGGGATATGCTGGCGAACACCGCGCCGTTCGACATGTCCGGCCACCCGGCCATCAGCGTGCCGTGCGGCAAGACGTCGGAGGGCCTGCCCGTCGGCCTGATGCTGGTGGGCCGCCATTTTGACGACGCCACGGTACTCCGGGGCGCCCACGCTTTCGAGCAGTCGGGCGACTGGGAGACGATGTAGCGACTGCGCTATTCCAACACGCCGTCGCTTTCCAGCGAGCGGTACTCAGCTTCGTCAAGGCCTATGATTTCGCGGAGGAAATGCTCCGTGTGTTGGCCCAGCAGCGGGGCCGGGGTGTCGAGGCTGCCGGGGGTCAGGGACAGTTCGAACTCGCTTCGGTCGGTGGCGTAGGGGCCGATCTCCGGGTGGTCCAACCACTGGAAGTGATTGCGGTGCTGCAGTTGCGGGTCATCGAAGAGGTCGCGAGGGTCGTTGATCACGCCCGCGGGGACGCCTGTATCCTGTAATTTCTGCATCAAATGGTGCCGATCGTGGTTGGCGGTCCACTGGCCCGATAATTCCGTCGAGTTCATCCTCGTTGGCCTTTCGGGCCAACAGGGTGGCGAATGACCCGGAGTGAAGCGGCCCTCCCTCCGGCTCAGCGGTTCTGAGAAGGCCCTGCCACTGTTCATCGGTCCGGCATGCGATGGCCAGCCAGCGGTCTTCGCCGGCGCAGGGGTAGACACCGTGCGGAGAGGCGCCCGGGTCGCGGTTGCCAAGGCGTCCCTGCTCGCGACCGTTGGTGTTGTAGTCCAACAGCAACGGCGCGATGAAGTGCATCGAGGTTTCCAACTGCGAGAGGTCGAGATGGATGCCCTCACCGGTGCGTCGGCTGCGGTCGAGAGCAGCTAAATATGGCGGCGACGGCGAACTTGGGGACAATGAAGTCGGTATAGGCGCCGTAGGGGTTGACCGGTGTGCGATCGGGCCAGCCGGTGACGTTGGTCAAACCGACGAGGGAGGAAAGGACAGGACCGAAGCCAGGCTGCCGCTCCATTGGCCCGCCGCGTCCCATCATGGACGCACTGAACATTACGAGGGCAGGATTGATTTCGCTCAGTTCCTTGAATCCCAGGCCCCAGCCTTCCATGGTGCCAGGAGTAAAGTTCTCGGTGACGATGTTGGCCCAGCAAACGAGGCGCAGCATCAGTTCACGGGCCCGCGCATGGCGCATGTCAACGGTGATGCCCATCTTGTTGGCGTTGTAGCTGGCGAAGTAGCCGCTGCGATTTATGCCAACGATACCGTCGCGAAAGGGCGCGGCGGACCGCAGGGTGCCGGGACGCTTGGCCGACTCAACGCGCACGACGGTGGCGCCGTACTCTCCCAAGTATTTGGTGGTCATGGGGCCGACGGCTACCCAACAGAAGTCAAGGACATTAACGCCATCCAGGGGTTTCGCGGCCATCAGATCGCTCCCGACCGTCGCAAGGATTCCATCTCTCCTGCCTTCAGACCCAACTCACCGCCCAAGATCTCGACGTTGTGTTCGCCGACCTGGGGGGCGCGGCGACGAAGGGGTGCGAGGACTGAGCCGTCGCCGCCCTTGATGAAGGCTCCGGGGTAGTCGACGACCGTCCCCAACTCGGGGTGTTCGAAGGGAGTGTAGTATTCCCGTGCCTCCAGCTGCGGGTGGCGGCGCAGGTCTGATGGGGTGGCCACCGGAAACAGCAGGATGCGGCGGGTGAGGCTCTGGCGAGTCAGTTCCTCGCGGGTGTGGCGTTCGAAGAAGGCGGCCATCGGCCCAACGACAGCGTCCATCACCTCGGGGGTGATGCGGCCATAGCCCATTTCCTCCCACGCGAAGGCCTGGAGGACAGTCACGTCGAATCCGTCCTCCTCCATCCACTGGAAGAGCGCGCGAGTGCTGGGGGCCACGCCACCGCCCTGGAGCATGTAATTGACGTAACCGTCGGCGCAGGGCCAGTTGATACGCACGCGGTTGTCTCCCGAGGTCTGGCGGTAGACGCCCATGCGCTGCAGAATCGCGCCCTCGATGTCCCAGATCTGGGGCGCGTGAGCCAGGGTACGGGCAACGGCCTGCTGGCAGGAGACGTCGACGTACTGTCCCTCACCCGTGAGCGCCCGGTGGGTGTGGGCGAGCATCGCCGCCGCCGCTCCGGCCGCCGACCCGTGGAGGTGGAAATGAGGAAAACTGGGTCGCAGCGGAGGGCGGTCGGGGTCGCCCGTAAGGTGCATGAACCCGCCCAAGGCCATGCCGGTGATGTCGGCGGCCTTGTAGTCCGCGTAGGGACCGTCCTGACCGAAAGCGGTAATGGACACCATCACGACACCGGGATTGATGCTGGAGAGGCGGGAGTAGCCCAGACCGATGCGGTCGAGATGGCCTGGGTCGAAGGACTCAATTACGAAATCGGCGGCGGCCGCCAAGCGTTCGAGGACGGCCTTGCCGTCGGAGTGCTCGAGGTTGAGAGTAATCCCGCGCTTGTTGGAAGAGTAGGCCCACCAATAGAGGCTCTTTTCGGACGACGGGTCGTCGCCGAAGAACGGCCCCACCTGGCGGGCGGGACTGCCTCCGGGCGGCTCAACCTGCACCACGTCGGCGCCTAGATCTCCGAGAATCTTGCCACAGAGCAGGCCACGCTCATCGGTCAAGTCGAGCACGCGGTAGGGGCTCAGCAGGGCCATTTCTGATGAATCGGACATTTATCGCATACCGTCGAGGAATTAGCGGATATTCTATGCTCAGGGCAGGTTTCGTCAAGCCTGGTCAATACGGGCAGCGATCAAATCGGGATGTTCGAGCCTTACCTTCAGCTGGCGCCCTGGGCCCGAGTGCCGGGGGTGCATGTTCGCAGGATTGCGTAGGTTGCCTGGGTCTTCCTGTGAGCGGGGTTCACCCTCTCCCTCAAGTCTCCCTCAAGGGAGAGGGTGAGGGGATACTCCCTGTGGATTCCCTGGTTTTACTTGTCGACCCTGGAGATTTCGCGGGAACTCTGGAGTTCGAGCACCTGGTCACGGAGATGCTGTAATTCGCCCACCTCAAGGGCGGTGTTGAACAGGTAGCGAGCGGCGCAGTAGCGGACGAAGGCGTTATCCTCCTGAGTGCAGCGAATCAGAGCGGCGAGGGAGAGTGACATGGAGCTCTTGAGGTCTGATAGGACCAAGTCGGCGGCTTCCTCGCGGAGGCGGCTGAGCTCGGCACGGAAATCAGGGTTGTCGAGCCAGCGGTAGAAGGTGCGCTCGGCGATGCCAGCGTTGCGGGCGCCCTGAACGTTAGAGGAAGAGGCGACGATGATGGGGAGGGCGGCGAGCTGGCGCGGAGTGAGGTCGCGGGTGTCAGGGGTATGGAAATCACTGACATTTCCTGACATTTCCTGACATTCCGGTGAATCTGCCTCGACTATCGTTGGGTTGGGATTAAACACCGAGGGAGCGGAGGCATTGACCGTCGAGTTGGCCGAGGCACTCGGGCTTTTGGCCACGCTGGACACGGAGTGCACAGAGATTTCCTGCTTTGTCTCGGGCGAGCAGGGGTGCGCAGTGGATTCCCCCTCTTCCGCCGTATACGGACGGACGCTGCTCTGGGGCAGAGTGGCTACTGGCCGGTTGGCCTTGCGGCGGTGGGACGGCCTGCGGTGTTTGGACTTTGGCATTCGAATTACTCGAATTGTCAGTCAAGGGTTGGATTTACGGGTACGCGGACCCGCTGTATTCGATGGTAGAGAGTTGTCATGAGGCTTGGCAAGGGGCTTCTGTCAGCAGTTTTGGTGGTCGGGAGGATGGATTCACCACAGAGGCCGCGGAGGTTGTCGCTGTGGGAAGGGCATTGGGAATACGACTGAGGGCCCCTACGCGCAGGGCTATCGTGTCTTATTACTCAGCACACAAAATTGGTCTGAATGGCGGTGGAGATGGGAGTGGCAGTGCCTCTTTCGGTTCCGGGTGCGAGGGTAGACGGGGGTTTGGATTCCCGCCTGCGCGGGAATGACGGAACAGGCGGGAATGACGACTCATAGGGCCTCCGGCGTTTAAGACGCGATTGCCCTGCCTCTACGCGTTTCCGGCACCGGGGATTTCGGGAGCGCGTGATAAGATGGGAGGTACATTCGACAGGCAACCAGGAACGAAATGACAACTAGAACCAACTGGCATAGCGCACACCCTCCGGCCTGCACCTGCGCGAGGTGTGCGGATAAGCGGACGGTGCGAGGGGAGCGAACCAAGATCGGGCGGAACGAAAAATGCCCGTGCGGCAGCGGCAAGAAGTACAAGCGCTGCCACGGGGATTAGGGTGGGCGTGCGGTGTTTGAGGGCTTCAACAGCACGCAGATCGAGACCTCGGAGACGGTGATCAACCTCAAGCACGGCGGCAGCGGGCCGCCCGTGCTGCTTCTTCACGGCTATCCGCAGACGCATGTGATGTGGCACATGGTTGCGCCGATGCTGGCGGAAAGGCACACCGTGGTAGCCCCCGACCTACGAGGTTATGGTGACAGCGGCAAGCCCTTGGTGGGTGACGATCCTGAGACCTACTGCAAGCGCCGGACGGCACAGGACCAACTTGAGGTTATGACGGCGCTGGGGCATCCGGCCTTTCACGTTGTGGGGCACGACCTGGGCGCCCGAGTCGGTTACCGCATGGCGTTGGACGCGCCGGATCGAGTGCTGAGTTTCACTACCCTGGACGTGGCTCCGTCGCAAGCGGCCTTCGAGGCAATGGACAGCAGCCTGGCCTTCGCGTGGTTTCACTGGAACCTGATGCGGCAGCCGGAGCCGTTTCCCGAAACGCTGATCGGAAGCAACACCAAGTTTTACCTGGACTTCCTGCTGGAGCGCTGGACGGCGGTGGATGGCGCGATCACCGAAGAGGCGTACGCGGAATACCTGAGGTGCTTCTCCGATCCTGAAACGATCAGGGGTTCTTGCGCCGACTACCGGGCCATCGACGTGGACCTGGCGCACGACGAGGCCGACCGCGGGCGAAAGCTGGGCTGCCCGGTGCTGGTCCTGTGGGGCGGCAATGTGGCAAAGCGACCGGGCTGGCAGACGGGGCGGGGGCTGGACATGCTCGATGTCTGGCGGGAGCGGGCGAAGGACGTTCGGGGCCATGCGATCGACTGCGGCCACTTCCTTGCGGAGGAGGCGCCTCAGGAGACTACGAGGGAGATCCTGGGGTTTATCGGCAGCGGTTAACTTTGCTGCAAGGCCTGAAGAATCGAAACCGCCCGCCCCTCAGTGCAGGGGCGGGCGGTTGTTGTTTAGGTGGCAATCCGTTCAGGTGGTTAGGCTGTTTCTACGTGATGCCCTTCCCGGAGTCTTCCGCCTATTTGCTGGCGGGTATGAAGCGCATGGAGAGGGAGTTGACGCAGTGGCGGGTGTTCTTTTGGGTGATGCGCTCGCCGAGGAACACGTGGCCGAGGTGGCCGTCGCAGTTGGCGCACTCGATCTCGATGCGCCGGCCGTCGGGGTCGGGTAGGCGGCGGACGGCGCCGGGGACCTCGTCATCGAAAGCGGGCCAGCCGCAGTGGGCGTCGAACTTGTCGGCGGAGCGGTAGAGCTCGGCGTTGCAGCGGCGACAGATGTAGGTGCCCTCTTCGTAGAAGTTGTCGTATTCGCCGGAGAAGGGGCGCTCGGTGCCCTTCATCTCGATGATGTGCTTTTCCTTGGGTGTAAGCTCGTTATAGGTTGACCTTTCCATTTGATTCACCGTCCTTCTTTCGATAGAGATATTGGTATTCAGGAGGCGAGAGAGCCCATGGGATCCCAGGGCGGGAGGACGACTGGCTCCAGGTCCAGGGCCTGCTGCAGATCCTCGGGGAGGTAGCTCTTCGGGGCGGCTATTTCGAACATGTACTCGGCGAACCAGGAATCGTTCATCAGGAAGAAGCCCTTGTCGCCGACCTTGCTGTCCCAACTGTTCTCAACGCGCCAGCGGCGGGGCTTGCCGTCTACGACATCGACGCCTGTGAAAAGCATGGCGTGGGTCATGGCAGTCTGTGATACTCGAGCCGCTCCTCCTTGTCCATGGAGAACTCGGCGTTGTAGACGCTGGCGTAATCGAACAGGTCGGCGTCCCAAAGGCCCTTGTCGCGGTGCATCTGCTTGCCGGTGTCGCAGCCCATCCAGACGGGAGTCCCGTCCTGGAGCATGCGCATGGCGATGTCCTTCATCAGCTCGATGTCGACGTTGAGGTACTTGATGCGGGCGCCGTCGACGACGTTGCCGAGGTACTGCACGGTGTAGGTGCGGCCGGGCGGGTTGTCCTTCCGGGGATCGTGGACGAGGCAGACGTACTCCTCCATGGGCGTGGAGATGTACTTTTCGGCGAACTCCAGCGGCGTCATCTCGCCATCGCGATGGAACTCTCCGTCCCTGTCCTTCCATTGCCAGTCGAAGGCGGCGGGCGGATTGCCGAGGTGTATGCAGAGGATCCGGTAGATGGCTCGGAGGGACTCCTGCTTGGCCTCGCGCATGGCGTCGATGCCGCCCTCGTCGGCGTAGATGCGGCGGATGTTGCGGGCGCCCTGGCGGACCTGGTAGTTGAGGCCGGCGTTCATGCGCATGGAGTTGCCGGAGCTATCGGTCTCGGGCATGACGGTCTTGGGTACGACGCCGTGCTTGCGGACCAGGCTGACGAACATGTCCCACTGCCCGCCGTCGCCGAGGGGCTGGTGCAGCAGCCAGGCGACGACGCGGTCGTCGACGGGGCGGTCGGCGGTCTCGAGAACGGCCTCGAGGATGTAGTTGGCCGCTCCATCTTGTCCCAGAACATAACGTAGCTCTGGCTGAACTCGAACTCCTTCACGTTGAGGAGGTTCCGGGTCTCGGCACGGAACAGGTTGAGGCCGGCGAACATCCAGCAGCGGCCGGAGCGCGCCTGGTTGGTGACGCTCCAGTCGTCGAGGACGGTGGAGAACGAGTTGACCGCTTCCGTCACGATGGTGCGGTTGAGTGCGACATCGTTGACGTCGTGCTGGGTAACCACGTTTTGCATGAGCTGATGCGAGGGTTGGGCCTCGTACGATTGTTGGAACTCGGCGAGGGAGGATGAGTCCAGGGCGCCGGGATTGGTCTCAGTTGTCATAGTGATTCGGACCTCAACAGAATTGGTTGCAAAGTTTCGACAGCCTAGTGGATACGAGTTGTTGAATTCAATCGGCAGCGGAATGGACAGGGGTAAGGCTGGCCACCACTCCCTGAATCTCCGCCAAAGCCCGGTCGATTTCGTCGGGCTTGGTGAACCTGCCTACGGAAAAGCGGATGGTGCCCATCGCGTACTCAATGGGTACGTTCATCGCTGCCAGGACGTGGGAGACCTCCACCTGGTCGCTGTGGCAGGCGGCCCCGGCGGAGGCGGCGACGCTGGGCAGACTGGCGAGGATGTCGGTCGGCTTCGAGGCCACGGAAGGCAACACTGGAGGTGTTGGGGAGCCGCTTCTCGGGGTGGCCGTTGATTCTGCGGTCGGGAGAGGCCGAGAGTAGGCCCTGCTCCAAGCGGTCACGCATGCGGGACATATACCTGGCGTAATCGTCGAGGTTCTGTTCGATGAGCTCGCAAGCCTTGCCAAGACCGGCCATTTCGATGACGTTCTCGGTGCCAGCGCGGCGGTCCTGCTCGTGGTTGGCGCCGTGCATGAGCTTCTCGAGGCGGACGCCTGGCCGGATGTAGAGGGCGCCGATGCCCTTGGGAGCGTACAGCTTGTGGCCAGCGATGGAGAGGAGGTCGACTCCAAGATCGTCGACGCGCACCGGGATCTTGCCGACGGACTGGGCGCAATCAGTGTGCATCAGTGCGCCGTAGCGGTGAGCGATTTCGGCGATTTCGGCGATGGGCTGAATTGTGCCGACCTCGTTGTTGGCGTGCATGATGGTAACCAGCAGGGTATCCGGGCTGATGGCCTCCTCGACCTGCCGCAGGTCGACCATGCCGTGCTCGTCTACGGGCACGAAGGAGACTCGGTACCCTTGGGTTTCCAGCCAGCGGCAGACCTCGGTCACCGCAGGGTGCTCGATGGTGGAGGTGATGATGTGGTTACGGCGCCCGCGGTTGGCCCAGGCGACGCCCTTGATGGCGTGGTTGTTGGCCTCGGTGCCGCCGCTGGTGAAGATCAGATCGTCAGTGGCACAGCCCAGGAGGGAGGCCACCTGTGAGCGTGCATGATCGACGCCGGCGCGGGCGGCGCGTCCGAAGAAGTGCCCGCTGGAGGGGTTTCCGTAGAGCCCGTGAATGTAGGGCAACATGGCTTCGGCGACCATCGGGTCGAGGGGTGTGGTGGCGTTGTAGTCGAGGTAAATGTCGTTCATTGCTGCTCCCAGAACAACTGGGTATTCATCAGTTCGAGCCCATTATATCCCAGCCGCGTAGTGGGCCTGTGGTGCTTGGAAACTGTAGGTTTTTGCTTGTGGTTTCCAAGGCCATTCCGGTAATGACCCGACAAGTGGATTGAGAGGGATCATCCTGTCTTGGTTGTGTTCAGCCACGGCTTGCAAGACTCTCGGCTTTTCGGGTGCCTCGTTGGCACGTCTACCAGGGATACAAAACGCCCTACGACCGTCGACAGTCCCGGTGCGGCCACCTTCGTGCGTTGCCTGGAAACGACGCAGGGGCCTGCGTAGAAATCCGGCCGACCGGCTGGCCTATTTGCTCCTCCTTACAGAACTCCATGCCAGTTATCTAAAGACGGACAACGAGTCCAGCAAAAGTAGTTGGCGTCAAACAAGCGCGGCTGACGATAGCTTCTGACGCCCTTTACATGCCGGCACGGCTGCGGGGAATGCTGCTCCGGACCTTGGCCGGAAACGTCTCCTTGACCTCACAAATTCCTCCTCGCCATTTCCCTTCGCGGCATTCCCATTTCTCCAGGGCCGGACAATGTTCTTTTCCACGTACCAGACGGGACAGCGATTTGTCGATCCCAGCGCCTGGCCAGTTTTCTCCTCGTACGGTACAAAAGCAAAGGTTCAAAACCGACTCTCTACGAGCCCTAATCGACCTTGTAGATAGTTATAATGATTCTTATATTTGTGCAAAAATACCGTTGCGAGCGCATCTTATGCGCAGTTACATGGAACCCTTGGCGGCATGTACGAAAAGCAACCCGCTGGCCACACACGTCTGATCCCGCTCACTGCAGCCCTTGGGTTGCTGGCAGTGCTGCTTGTGCTGCTGCCTAGCCGGGTTTTTGCCGCCGACCCGGATTTCGGCAGCGGCCACACGACCACGATCAGTGTGCCTGAAAACACAGCATCGGGAACGGATATCGGCAACGCATACACTGCCACCGACACCGACTCGGCCGACGTGTTGACCTACCACTTGAGTGGCACCGATGCGTCATCCTTTAGCCTCGGCTCATCTTCCAGCCAGTTGTCGACCAACACCACCCTGGACTATGAGACCAAGTCCAGCTACAGCGTGACCATAGGTGTGCGAGACAACACCTCCGACACGACAGACGATGACACCATCGACATTACGATCACCGTCAACAACGTCGATGAGGACGGGCACGGTGTCGATCATGGGCACGCTCGATGGGGGAGAAGAGTTAACGGCGTCGGTAAGCGATCTGGACGGGACTGTCAGCAGCCTCACCTGGAAGTGGTCCCGGGGGGAGACGGCCACCGGGCCATTCACAGACATCGACTCGGCAACCAACGCCAAATACACCTCGGTGGCTGCAGACGTGGGCAAGTTCCTGCGGGCCACAGCCACCTACAAGGACCCGGAGAGCACTACCGTGGACAAGACCGCCCACGCAACGACAAGCAGCGCGATTGCGGCCAGCAACAACGAGCCCACCTTCAGCAGCATGGCTGCTACCCGCACCCTGCCGGAGAACAGCGGAGCGGGTGTGAACGTGGTTGGGGGCACGATAACCGCCACTGATGGCGACAGCGACATGTTGACGTACTCGCTAGCTAGCACGGGAGACCATGCGTCTTTCGAGATCAACTCTAATGGACAGATCAAGACCAAAACCGGGGTCAGCCACGACTTCGACTTCGAGTCTGCGAAGAAAAGCTACGACGTTACCGTCAACGTCCGCGACAACAAAGACTCCGCGGGCGACACTGACTCCGCCTGGATGACAGCATCGACGTGACCATCAACCTGACCGACGTCAACGAAGCGCCCACCATTGATTCCGGGTCGAGCGCCTTCAGCAAGGACGAAAACACGGCAACCTCGGTGGTCATCCAGACCTACCAGGCGTCCGACGAAGACACGCCCGGCACGCCACAAACGCTTACATGGGGGCTGGAAGGCACTGACGATGGCGACTTCGACATCAACTCCTCGACCGGCGCGCTCACATTCAAGAACGTGCCCAACTATGAAATGCCGGCCGACGGCGACGGAATGAACGACTACAACGTGACGGTGAAGGTTACCGACAGTGGCAGCCCAGCGAAAAGCGATACACTGGCCGTCACCGTCACGGTCAATAACGTCAACGAGGCGCCGACATTTGATACCACGCCCGGTGATTTCAGCAAGGACGAAAACACGCCGGACACCGAGGTCATTGCAAGCTACTCCGCCTCGGACGTGGACGCCGACGACAATCCCAGCAATCTGAACTGGACGCTGTTGGGCGAGGACGCCAACGACTTCACCTTGGTGAAGAACTCGATGACCAACAATGCCGAGCTGAAGTTCGCTGCAGCGCCCAACTTCGAAATGCCCTCTGACGACGACGACAACGACGGTGTGGAAGGGAACAATGAGTACGAAATCACGATCAAGGTAGCGGACGACGGCAACCTCTCAGTCGAGGAGTCGGTCACCGTCACTGTCACCGACGTTAATGAAACGCCGGTGGTCAGCGGGGACGCCGGACCGAACTTCGCGGAGATCGAGTACGACGACGATGGCTCAACTCTCACCACCACTCACCTCACCGTCCCCGGAACCTACACCTTCACGGACGAAGACGATGACGACGTTACGTGGACCCTCAGTGGAAACGACGCGAATCACTTCGAAATTACACAGAATATGGACGGGTCTAGCTTCATTGCGTTCAAGAACCCGACCCCAAGCACAACGGATAAGCCCGCCGATTTTGAGAACCCTGTCGACACGGGGCCCTAATAACACCTATGTCTTCGTAGTGGAGGCGACTGACGACAACACCACGGTCGCTCCACACAACCTAAAGGGTACCTTTAACGTCACCGTCACCAACGTCGACGAGACGCCGGAGATTACTGCAGGAAGCAACTCGCCCGAGCTTCGTGGAAATCGAATACTGAGGTGGACCCCATCGGTTGGACAGGATTAAGCCACAATTAAGTGGGACTCCTGCACTCCTCCGTATGATACCAAGACCCGTTGGTCCGGGCACCTCCTTTCCTTCAGCTCCTCTTCTACAGGCTCGCCGTGGAAGACCTCCGCCGGCGTACGGTAGCCCAGGGCCTGATGCGGCCTCCGGTGGTTGTAGAACCGGAAGTATTCCCGCAGCCCGTTGCGGGCCTCAAGGCCGTTGGCGTAGGCCTTCAGGTAGACCTCCTCGTACTTCACCGTCCTCCATAGCCGCTCGACAAGTATGTTGTCCTGGTACCTGCCCCTGCCATCCATGCTGATCTTCACCGAGTGATCCTGGAGTATCTGCGTGAACTCGCGGCTGGTGAACTGGCTTCCCTGGTCGGTGTTGAATACGTCGGGCCTTCCTTGGCCGAGGGCCTCGGTCAGGGCCTCGGCACAAAAGCAGGCGTCCAGGGTGTTGGACAACCCCCAAGCCACCACGTACCGGCTGTGCCAGTCCATGATTGCCACCAGGTACAGGAATCCCCGGGCCATGGGCAGGTAGGTGATGTCAGCCGCCCACACCTGGTTCGCCCGGGTGATCGTCAGATCCCTCAGCAGGTAGGGATAGACCCAGCGTCCCGCCGCTGGTTGGCTGGTGCGAGGCCGCCGGTAGATAGCCCGCAGTCCCATCAGTCTCATGAGCCGCTGCACCCGCTTCCGGCTTACCGGCATGCCCTGCCGCTCCAGCGAAGCCTTCATCCGCCTGGAACCGTAGAAAGGGGTTTCCAGGTACTGGCGGTCCATGGCCTGCATCAGGGACAGGTCCCCCAGGGGTGTCCCCTTGGGACGGTAGTAGAGGCTGGAGCGGCTGACACCCATCAGCTGGCACTGCCGCACTATGGACAGGTGCCGATGTTGCCGGTCGGTCAGCTCACGCCGCTGTGCTGGGGTCATGGACCGGACCTTTCCTCCAAGAAATCCCGCTCCACCTTGAGCTGGCCGATCTGCTGGTACAGGCGAGCCACCAGGGCGTCGTTGTTCTTGTTCTTCTGCTCCTTGCCCTTATTGGTCCCGTTGCCTTGGCCGAATATAGCGGCCGCGCCATCCACTAAGGCCTTCTTCCAAGTCTGAATCTGGTTGGGGTGGACCTCGAACCGGGCGGCCAACTCGGCCACCGTCTGCTCGCCCTTCATTGCCTCCAGTGCAACTTTCGCCTTGAAGGCCGGGCTGTGCTTTCTCCGCTCTGTGGACATTTCCCGCTCCTCATCAACAGCTGTCGCTGTCCGTAGTTTAGGAGCAGGATTCCCACTTAACCAACTGTCCAGTTTTCCGGGTCCACCTCAGTTGAGTGTTCAGATGAGGTAACCAGATGGGTGCGGAAGTGGCCCGATGGGCCGAGAGCACCTACCGGGTCAATGTCCGGGCGGTCGTCACAATTTACAACCGCGCCGAATTCCGACTACCCACCCCACGGTCCACTTATCTCCGCCCTTTCACATCCAGCAGCGCCAGTCGAAACACGGGCCGGACTTGATGCGGTCCGGGGTCGTGAGCGAGCTTGTTCTCACTCTTCCTCTTCCTTAACGGCCTGATGCACAATTAATCCTGGCCGGTAGCGTCTCTGTTTTTGCCGGTCCATTAAGAGGTAATCATTCGGTGCGCAGGTGCCGATTGATTACGGACCGACAAGTCAGGCTAATGAGGCAGAAACGTATGGAAGGCAAAACACAGGAGGCGGCAGCGGCCAAGGCTGGGATGAGCGTGCGATCAGCGCGCAAGTGGCAGAATGGCCCATTGCCATCACAGGCGAAATCGGAGCACTGGTGGCGCACCCGTCCCGACCCCTTCGACGGGGTGTGGGAGGATGAGACCCCGCCCCTGTTGCGGAATGATCCGACTGGCAAGCTGAAGGCAACGACAATTATCGACTGGTTGGCCGATCAGCATCCCGGCCGGTTCAGCGCATCCCAGTTGCGCACGCTGCAACGACGATTACAGGATTGGAGGGCGCTCCACGGTCCGGATCGGGAGGTGTACTTCCCCCAGGAGCATCCGCTGGGTCGCGAGGCCCAGTTCGACTTCACCCACTGCGGGGAACTCAGGGTGACCGTCGCCGGACAGCCCCATACCCATCTGCTGTTCCAGTTGATTCTCAGCCACTCGGGGTGGCGCTACGCCGAGGTCGTTGCCAGCGAGACCTTCCTGGCCTTGCAGCAGGGATTGCAGGCTGCACTGTGGACCTTGGGCGGTGTTCCAGAGGTGGTGCGCAGCGACAATACCTCGGCTGCGACTCACGAATTGCGCAATAGCCGTGGCCGCGCCCTTAACGACAATTACGCGGCCCTGCTGGACCACTACGGCCTCCGCTCCACCCGCATCAATCCCGGTCAGAGCCATGAAAACGGTGTCGCCGAGCATGCCCACTACCGCTTGAAGGACGCCATCGATCAGGCCCTGATGCTGCGAGGCAGCCGTGATTTTGACACAGTCGACGACTACGCCGACTTCGTCCGGCAGATGGTGGAGAGACGCAATCGCCTGGTAGAGGGGAAGCTGGAGCAGGAGATGGCTTGCCTGCGGTCCCTGCCGCCAGCTCCGGTGCCGGAATACGCCAACTACCAGTCCAATCCAAGGTGCGCCGGTGGTGCACCATCCAGGTAGCGGGACATAGCTACAGCGTCCCCTCCCGTCTCATCGGTAAGGAAGTGCAGATCCGTCTGTACGCCGACTGGGTGGAAGTGTACTACAAGGGCCACTTGGCCGAGGGCATGGATCGGGTGCATGGCGAGGGGGAAGTCAACGTCAATTACCGCCACGTCATCGGCTCGCTGGTGCGCAAGCCGGGAGCGTTCGCCCGGTATCGCTTCAGAGAGCAGCTGTTTCCCACCATGCACTTCAGGCTGGCCTATGACGCGCTGAAGGAATGGCGTGGGGAGCGTGCCGACGTGGAGTACGTGCGCATTGTGCACCTGGCGGCCACGACCATGGAAGCCACGGTGGACAGCGCGCTGTCGCTGCTGCTGGAAGCAGGTCAGCCCTTCGACTACGCACAGGTGCGGGACCTGGCTGAGCCCAAGCCTCCCGAAGCCCCGGTGCTGACCCTGTCCGGCCAGCCGGACCTGAAAATCTACGACGGCCTGCTCACCAGCAGTATGGCGGTGGCGGCGGTGTGCGGATGACCAACACCGACATCGATACCGACACCAGCGTCATGCAGGACCGCATCAGCCAGCTGTGCCACCAATTCAAGCTGCCCACCATGGGCGCCCAGTCGGTGGACCGTTTCACCGCCTCCGGCCACGGCGACGCACTGCCCATCTTCCTCGAGGTGCTGGAACAGGAGGCCGATGATCGCCGCCACCGGCGCATCAATCGGTTGCGTCAGTCGTTCCAGCTCCCCACGGGCAAGACCTGGGAAACCTTCGAGCATCACCGGATGCCCTTGGCGCTGCGCCAGCAACTGGACCATCTGGCCCAGGGCAGTTTCGTGGAGCACGGTGTCAACGTCCTGGCCTTCGGACTGCCCGGCACCGGCAAGACCCACGCCCTGTGCGCCCTGGGCCACCGGCTGGTGGAGCCGGCCACTCCGTCCTCTTGCGCGCCGGCTACCGCTGTGCAGGAACTCCTCGCCGCCACAAGCGAGACCTGGACCTGCCCGCCGGCTCCGCAGGCTGGACAACTTTCGACTTCCTGCTCCTGGACGACCTGGGCTATCTGCCCCAGGGGGCTGAGGAGTCCGGGTGCTCTTCATCACCCTCATCGCCGAACGCTACGAACGAGGTCCTGGGCATAACGTCAAACCTGGTCTTCTCCGAGTGGGAGCGCATCTTTGCCAACCCATGGCCACCGCCCGCGGCATCGACCGGGTGTGGCACCACTTCCGTCATCCTCGAGTTTGACGTCCCCA